ACCCCGATGCTGGGAAAGATTGAAAGCGGGAGGAGAAGGGGACAACAGAGGATGAGATGGTTGGATGGCATCGCAGACTCAATGGACATAAGTTTGAATAAACTCCGGGAGTTGGCGATGGACAGGGAGGCCTGGCGTGCTGTGGTCCATGGGGTTGCAAAGAGTCGGACACAACTGAGTGAACTGAACTGAATTGAACCGATGCCACAACTAAGAGTTCTCATGCTACAGCTAAAGATTCTGCATGCCGCAATGAAGATCAAAGATCCTGTGTGATACAACTAAGATCTGGCACAGCCAAATAAATAAATGAATCTTTTTAAGTTAAAAAAAAAACCATGTCTATACTTTAAAGTACTTTATTGCTAAAAATAAAAAAAGGAAGTAGGACGAACCCTTTAAAAAGACTAACAACTTTTTAAAAACAACAAAGCGCTAACGTCATAGCAAGGAATTACCTGACCGAGCCTCAGGAGCAAATAGGACTCAGAGAGTCCAGCAAAAGGCAACCTATTGCGTGAGTGGGTGAGTGGGATACAAACTGTGTGGCTGAAATGCACTTTTAGGGGTCTTGTGAGGTTAAGGGGACAAAAGTTTGAGTTCAGGAATAACTAAGAATGGAGATCCAAATAAATTACACACACATCTTTAGCTGGGACCTTAATGGATTACAATCTTGGAGTAAGGGTAAATCTAAGGTGTATCACATACACTTGAAAATTTCCATCAAGTAGTCTGGGTGGCTCAAGGAATCTTGAGGCTAGGACTTGGAGTAAGGTGGTTTCAGACTGCTAGTGTCCTCATGAATTTGATAGAATGAAACAAAAATCTTACACAGCAGATGACAACATCTTAGCTCCCAAATTATCTATATTGTACAAACAATTTTTCAAATGCAATGTCCAGGATTCTATCAACAATAACCCGGCATACAAGGAGAAAAATATGAGTAAGAGAAAGCAGAAACAACAGCAAGACCAGACCACAGGCAATCTGTTTATACCTCTGTGACTTCACCCCTCACACTGTGTTGTTATTATTTATCTTTCTTTCTCAGTGGGGATATTTCCTTGTTTCTTCCCCATCAATTATTCCATTCTTTTCCCTTCCCTACACTCTTGATTTCAGTTCTGATTATAATGTGATACTGGAGAGGTCGACCCTCTCACCAGCTGTAGGAGTCGGGCATATGAACTATCCATGGAATCTCTTTTCCTGTCCACAGGATTGACTCAGGGGTTAGCATGTGAACTAAGACAGTCCAGTGGGTGAGTCCCAGCCTGTCTGGAAGAGAATGCTGATATACAGACTTTCTACTCTTGAATAGAGAAGCATGTCCCTCTAAGAGCTGCTGGCTGCAGCATAACTCCAGGTTGAAATCAATGCTGTGGAAGATCAAACTAGAAAGAAATCAGGTCTTAAGTGACATTGTGAAGCTGCTAGATCAAGGTTCAGCTGTAGCTAGACCTGCTTCTAGAGCAGCATTGACCAATAGAAATATAATGCAAGTCACCTGTGAAAATTTTCTAGTGGCCACATTTAAAAAGTAAGAAGTCTTCCCTGGTGCTCCAGTGGTTAACACTCTATGCTCTCAGTGCAGGGGGCCCCAGTTTGATGCCTGGTTGCTGCTGCTGCTGCTGTTAAGTCACTTCAGTCGTGTCCGACTCTGTGCGACCCCATAGATGGCAGCCCACCAGACTCCCCCATCCCTGGGATTCTCCAGGCAAGACCACTGGAGTGGGTTGCCATTGCCTTCTCCGTGATGCCTGGTTGGGGAACTAAAATCCTATAAGCCACATAGCACTGCCAAAAAAAGAAAAAGGTGAAATTCATTTTAGTAATATATTTTATTTAACTTAGTATATCCAAATACTATCATTTAACATACGTAATAATTATGTTACATATTAACATGTAATAATGTAAATAATTACTAATGACTAGCTTACATTCTGTTATTCATGCTAAGTCCGTGAAATCTAGTGTGTATTACACTAAACAGCACATCTCAACTCAGACTAGGTATATTTCAAGCACTGAATAGTCTTGTAGCTGGGGACCATCAAAGAACTCTAGAATTTTCCTTTATTGAATCAGTATATATCCTTAGAGCAAGGTTTAACTGCTTTGTGCGTGCATGCTTGCTAAAGTTGCTTCTGTTGTGTCCAGCTCTTTGTGACCCTATAACTGTAGCCTGCCACACTCCTCTGTCCATGGGACTCTCCAAGCAAGAATACTGGAGTGGGCAGTCATGCCCTCCTCCAGGGGATCTTCCCAACCCACGGGTTGAACCCATGTCTCATGTCTCCTGCACTGGCAGGCGGGTTCTTTACCACTAGCACCACCTGGGAAGCCCTTAACTGCTTTATTGATATATAATTTATATACCATTAAATTCACCCACTGTAAATGTACAGTTCTAGGCTTTTTAATAGAACAAAAGTTGTGCAACCACCACCAACCTCCAGTTTTAGAACATTGCCATCAACCACAAAATTTCCCTTGTGCCTCTTTGTTGACACTCTCTACTCCCATCCACAGCCCCAGGCTGCTTTACTTCTTTCTGTACATTTGCCTTTTCTGGAATTTCATATAAATGGAATCAAGTAATATGTAGGGTTTTGCCTCTGGCTTTTTTAACTTAATGTAGTTGGTGTTTTTGAGGTTCCTCCATGTTTTAGCATAATTCAGTACATTTCTTTCTATTGCTCAATAATATTCTAATGTATGGACACCCATTGTGCTTATCCATTCACCAGTTGATGGACATTTGGAATGTTTCCACCTGTGGGTGATTATGATGAAAGCAGCTAGAACATTCTCGTCCAAGCCTTTTAATGGATGTGTTTCCGTTTCTCTTGATTGAGTCTTAGGAGTGGAATTCCTGGGTCATATGCTAAGTTTATATTTAACCTCTTAAGGAACCGCCAGACTTCTTTCTTTCTTTTTTCTTTTTGGCCTCGCCTGGTAGCTTGCCCCAGGGTCTTATTTCCCCGACCAGGGATTGAACCGGGGCCCTCAGCATTGAGAGCACGGAGTCCTAACTACTGGACCACCAGGGAATTCCCAAAACTCACCCTTTCAAAGCACCTAACTCAATGTTTTACAACTATCACCACTAATTCCAGAACATTTCCACCATTCTAAAAAGAAAATCTACACCTGTTAAGTGGTCATTCCTCATGCCTTACTTCCTTTCCCCAGCTCCCTGGAAGTCTACTTTCTGTCTTTATGGATTTGCCTATTTGGACATTTTATATAAATGGAATCATGTAACATGTGGCGTTTTGCATCTGGTTTCTTCCAGTGAATGTAACGTTTTCAAGTTTTATCCATGTTTAGCATGTATTAGTACTTCACTCCTTTTGTTTGTTGTTGTTTAGTGACCCAGTTGTGTCTGACTCTTTGCAATCCCACGGACTGCAGGCCGCCATGCTCTTCTGTCCATGGGATTTCCCGGCCAAGAATACCAGAGTAGGTAGCCATTTCCTCCTCAAGGGGATCTTCCTGACACAAAAATCAAACCCACATCTCCTGCAAGCCTCCTGCCTCGAAGGCGGATTCTTTACCAGAAACTCCTGGGGAAGCCAAGCCACTTTATTCCTTATTAAGGCTAAATAACACCCCGTGTATAGATGTGGTTGTTGTTCAGTCACTAAGTCGCGTCCGACTCTTTTTGACCCCATGGACTGCAGCACTCCAGGCGTCCCTGTTCTTCACTGTCTCCCGGAGTTTGCTCAGATTCATGTCCATTGAGTCGGTATACCATATTTCATTTATTCATCCATTAGTTGATGGACATTTGGGTTGTTTCTACTTTTTGGCTACTGTGAATAATGTTGCTATGAATATTTGTGTACAAAGTGTTTGTATGGACATATGCTTTTAGATCTCTCAGGTATACACCCAGGAGTGAAACTGTTGGATCGTAGGCTTCCCTGGTGGTTCAGATGGTAAAGAATCTGCCTTCAATGTAGGAGACCAGAATGGGTATGGAAGATCCTCTGGAGAAGGGAATGGCTACCCACTCCAGTATTTTTGCCTGGAGAATTCTATGGACAGAGAAGCCTGGCAGGCTACAGTTCACAGGGTCACAAAGAGTGGGACACAACTGAGCAACTAACAGTTTCACTTTTTTCATGCTAAGCCCATGTTTAACTTTTTGAGGAACTGCCAAAATGTTGCACTTTCACATTCCCATCAACAATGCATAGGGGCTCCAATTTCTCCATATCTTTAGCAACACTTGTTAACATCTTTTTTCCTTTTTACAGGCAACTGGTACTTCTTTTTTCAGTGTGATAAAATAATTACATAGCTTAAAATTTATCATTTTAGCAATTTTAAGTGTATAGTTCAGTAGCATAAGGTACATTCACATTGTTATACAGCATTTATCAACACCATTCATCTCCAGAAATTTTTCATCATCCCAATCTGGAACTCCATACCTGTTAACTCCCATTTCCATTCTCCCCCCACTCTCTGGAAGCCACCATTGTACTTTTGTCCCTATGAATTTGGCTACTTTAGATAGTTCATATGACTGGAATCATGAAATATTTATTCTTTTGTGGCTTGTTTGTTTCACTTAGCGTAATGTCCTCAAGTTTCATCCACATTGTCGGATGTGTCAAAATTCCTTTCCTTTTTAAGGAGGAATGATAGCCCATTGTATAGCTATATCACCTTTGTTTATCTATTCATAAATCTGGATGGACATTTCGGTTGCTTCCATTTTTTGGCTGTTGAGAATACTGCTGCTATGAATGTGGTGCTTTCAATTCTTTCAATTTGGGGTATATACCCAGAAATGGAACTGCTGGATCATACGGTATTTCTGTTTAACTTTTTGAGGCTTAGAGCCACTTCTATAGGACAGGGGCCACCACTTAAGGACCCATGGCCTTTTAAGTTCCTACCTTACGTTTGGTTGGGCTGTTTCCCTTTTAGAGGGTTTTCCCTTTGTGTGGAAACCACGACTCAGTCGTGTTTTGAGACGATTTTATTTACAATGTACTTTCATTGTTCAGAAAAGAAAATAAGAACGTCCCCTTTAAAGATTCATAAGGATTAATGGAGGGACGCACCGAACAAAAATGGGCGTGGTTACTGACGGACGCATTCAGCTGACTTTGCTCTTCTCTTCAGCCAAGCTTTTTCTCCTGATCGAAGGCTGCATGGGAAGGGGCAGGCTCAGAGCTCTCATCCAAATTCTGGATGAGCCAGAAAAATAGGCTCTGGTTAAAAGCTGTAAAAAAAAAAAAAAAAAAATTAAAAGTAGGTGTGTTGAGTCCATCATCGCCGCCGCTGCCGCCACCGCCATGGCTCAGTACAAGGGTGCCGCCAGCGAGGCGGGCCGCGCCATGAACCTCATGAAGAAGCGGGAGAAGCAGCGCGAGCAGATGGAGCAGATAAAGCAGAGGATTGCTGAGGAGAACATAATGAAGTCCAACATTGACAAGAAGTTCTCTGCGCACTACGACGCCGTGGAGGCCGAGCTCAAGTCCAGCACTGTGGGTCTTGTGACCCTGAACGACATGAAGGCTAAGCAGGAGGCGCTGGTGAAGGAGCAGGAGAGGCAACTCGCCAAGAAGGAGCAGTCGAAGGAGCTGCAGCTGAAGCTGGAGAAGCTGCGAGAAAAGGAGCGCAAGAAGGAGGCCAAGCGGAAGATCTCCAGCTTGTCCTTCACCCTGGAGGAAGAAGAGGAGGCAGGCGAGGAGGAGGAGGTCGCTGTGGACGAGGAGGAGCTGGAAAGGGAAGAGATCACCACAAAGAAGAGGAAAATGGGGAAGAACCCAGATGTGGACACAAGTTTCTTGCCTGACCGAAACCGGGAGGAGGAGGAGAATCGGCTCCCAGAGGAGCTACAGCAAGAGTGGGAAGCCAAGCAAGAGAAGATGAAGAGTGAGGAGACTGAGATCACCTTCAGCTACTGGGATGGCTCTGGGCACCGGCGCTCAGTCAAGATGAAGAAGGGCAACACGATGCAGCAGTTCCTGCAGAAGGCACTTGAGATCCTGCGCAAAGACTTCAGCGAACTCAGATCGGCAGGCGTGGAGCAGCTCATGTGCATCAAGGAGGACTTAATCATACCTCACCACCACAGCTTCTACGACTTCATCGTCACCAAGGCTCGAGGAAAAAGTGGGCCCCTCTTCAGTTTTGACGTTCATGAAGATGTGCGGCTGCTCAGTGACGCCACTGTGGAGAAGGATGAGTCGCACGCGGGCAAGGTGGTGCTGCGGAGCTGGTACGAGAAAAACAAGCACATCTTCGCCGCCAGCCCCTGGGAGCCCTACGACCCCGAGAAGTGGGACAAGTACACGATCCGATGACGTGGCTGCAGTGTGGCCCCGGCTCCCTGTGGTCCCCTCCTTTGGTCCCCAGGACTCAGAGTGCCCAGCTCCCCGCTCCTAAGATGGGATCAGACCTGCTCAGCCCCTGCCCTGGCGCTGTTGTTTCTTGCCTCTTTCTTTCATGACACTTGGAGCACCCGATGTGTGTTTTGTCTAAAAACTTTTTTTGATCGAGCTAAAATTCACTTACAGTGAAATTCACCATTGTGATCATGTGAAAGTACACCACACGGGGGTATTGCGTACATTCACGGTGTTGTGAATCACTCCTGAAAGAGACCCCACGTCCATTAGCAGCCAGCCCTTCACACCCATTAGTCTATTTCCTGTCTGTTTGGATTTGCTTATTCTGGAAGTTTCTATAAACAGAATTATACAGTAAAAAAATAAAAAATAAAAAAAAAATAAAAGTAGGTGTGTGCTCTCCGCCAGACCGCCGCCGTGCCGCCATCATGGACATGAGCCGTGTGCAGCCCATCAAGCCTCCCAGGGTCACCAAGGTGTTGGGCAGGACCGGTTCGCAGGGACAGTGCACGCAGGTGCGCGTAGAATTCATGGACGACACGAGCCGCTCCATCATCCGAAACGTGAAAGGCCCCATGCGCGAGAGCGATGTGCTCACCCTGTTGGAGTCAGAGAGAGAGGCTCGGAGGCTGCGGTGAACTTGTGACTGGGTGCTGGATGTCTAGGTTGACGCCGTGGCCCACCAGGATGATCTGCTGTTAATAAAGCGTTTATATCGTATGTTAAAAAAAAAAAGCAGGTGTGTTTTACCTTGGGTACTCCCAATCAATGCCTTCCTCTTTCTCTAAGTATGGGAAGGGGTTTGGTGGAGTGGATGATATTGTACTTTTGTCAGGATATTGAAAGGAGAGGGAGAGTGAGAAGTTAAAAAATTATATATGGTAGTAATAGTGATACAAATAATGATAACTGCCATTAATATAACAACCACTGCAGACTGTCTTTGAGGAGCAATGTTGCCCCCCATGAGGACCACTGAGTTACCATAACCAACTGTCCTGGTTGGCCCGAGAGGAGGGTGGTTTCCTAGGACAGCAGATTTTCAGTGCTAAAACAGAGTCCCAGGCAAACTGGGATGGTGGTTCACCCAAAGGCTAGTCCCCCACTTCCTTGTTGTGCAACCCTGGGCTGGTTGCTTTACTTTTCTAGCCTGTTTCCCTAGAGATAATATTCTCAGAGATAATCATATCTAACTCACATATTTGTTGTGAGGATAAAAGAAAATCTATGCATAAAGCATTAAGCCCAGTATATGGGACAGTAATAGCTACAAATACATGTTAGGAATTATTACCTAAATTCTTTTTTTTTTTTTTTTGCTGCTGAAAGATCCAATAGCTTTATTTTTAATTGGAGCATAATTGCTTTACAACATTGTGTTTGTTTCTGCTATACAACAATGTGAATCAGCTATTTGTACACATATATACCCTCCCTCTGAAGCCTCCCTTCCACTCCTAAATTCTTATCTAATTTAATCTTGTAAGGTTTGTTTGTTGTTTTGGGGAGCAATTTTTATTTGTTTAAATGTAGAGTCCATTTACATTCACAAATTTATATAATAAAAGCCAAAGATACGGCGAGACTGCTAGAAAAGAAAATATTAAAACCACATAGTAGAAGAAAAGAATGAGCCCCTTCAAATCAAGACCAAGAGATTTCTTAAAGTGTGCATTCCTGGGGCCTGGATTAAGAGGGTGGGGCCATGGTTTACTTGGGGCTGGCAAGCTGAGCACTGGGTGCAGATGGCTCATCCTTCCCTGTTTAGAGTAGCTCCTAAATTAGATGATTTTATTATGTTCATTTTACACAATTGGAAACAGAGTCAAAAGCACAAAGTCTCCCAACGCCCTTGTCAGCTTTTCCAGCACTAGCTGCTAGCCATTCTAATTTTGCTAGAGGACCACGAGGAAGAGTTAGAAATTACAAGCTTGGATATCACAGCCCAGCTGCTTGCCCAGTATTCCAGAATCAAGGGAGCCTTTAGGAGTTGAGTCCAACCCCTGGCTTTACAAATGGAGTTTATTTTTATTTTTATTTTTTTAACATTTATTTTTATTTATTTGGCTGCATAGAGTCTTAACTGTGGCATGTGGGATCTAGTTCCCTAGCCAGGGATCGAACCCAGCCCCCCTGTATCAGGAGCACAGAGTCTTAGCCACTGGACCACAAGGGAATTACCCCCTGGCTTTACAAATGGAACCATGAGGCCCAGAGCTGGAACTGCTGCCCCCAGCATCCAGCTACTGGAGAAGAACCCAAGTCACCCCACTCCCAGTGAGGTGTCCTCTCTTACGTTGGTCAGGACCAGATAGACTGTGGTCCCTGGACAGCTCACTAGACCTAGGGACACAGGCCTGCAATGGGCAAGAATGAATATAGGCAACGTCCTCAAGTCTACATTTCCAAATGGGCTTGTTTTCCCACGTGAAGTTGTGTGCACCGACTCTGAGGCGGTCTACTGTCTGCCTGCAGGAGTCTGAAACAGGAAAGAGAAGGCCTCAGTGCACCTGTGTGTCAAGGTCTACAGGTGAGTCCAGGTGCTGAACTCACCAGTCTCTCTCCTCCCCTTAAGATATTAGAAGCAAAGCTACTCCGGCAGGAAAATCCAGAATGGCCTACTAGAAGTGAATCTCCCTCTATAAGACAAACTCTGTAAGATGGTGAAATGCTTGGCCTGGCCTGCAGGACAGGGATGGGAACCCAACCTGGTTGTGGCTCATGGGAAGCTCATCTGGGCTGCGCACGATCAGACCACAGAGTGCTTCCTTGAGCAGGGAGGCCTCCATTTCACCATCATCCCAAACTGGCATCTGGCCTTTATATTTACTTCTTTGGGGTTTACTTCCTCTGGGCCCTGGCACCTATAGGCAGATTGCTCCTTTTATTTTTAGTATACACGTATGCATTTATTTATTTTGGTTATGCTGCATGGCATGGTTCCACCACCAGGGCCCCAGCAGTGAAAGCACCCAAGTCCTAACCTCTGAACTACCAGGGAATTTACCAGATTGCTCTTTTTAAAATGCAAATCAGGTCTCGTGGCTCACCTGTGCTCACAACCCACCCAGTGCTTACCTGTGCAGCTCAACCTGCACCCCATCTTTCACAGACCCCCTTTTGTGCCTCCTCTAGACACTGGTCCAGCCATATTTGAGCTTTTTCAAGTTGCTTAGAGGTGCTACTCTCTTCACCTCTCTCTTCCCTGTTAACCTTTCCCCATCCCTGTTACTTAGTGTTATGCTGAATGCTGTCACAAATCTCAAACTTATCAGCAATTAACACAAAAAGTGGTTTTCAAATTCTCATGAAAAGCTTAACTGGTGTTCCTAGATGTTGGGTGATAGGGTTGGGGGCGGGGTTGCCATTTTCCATGTGTGGCTTCCAAGATTGCCCTGGGCATTGACACAGCTGTGAGTACAGTGGGAAAGAGCGTTGGATGAGCACATGAGGAGGTTTTTATGGATCAGCACGAATCATTTCTGCTCAGGTTTCACTGACTAGAACTCAGCCACATGGCCACAGTTAGCTGCAAGCGAGTCTGGAAAATATATTCTAGCTGTATTCCCAGGGAAGAAGGAATGGGTTTTTGTGAACATGTTGCAACACCATCCTTGAGGCATCAGTCTGGGTCACTTTTGTAGAAAGTAATTCCTAACTCATTGAGTGGCTCCTTGATTAAACCATCACACTTGGTACTCAATCCTTTTATGACCCAAGTTTAAGGTAGGGTAAAATAATTGTTTATTTATACATTTTTCTGCATTAGACCGTGCATTAGTTTCCTATTGTTTCTTAACAAATTACCATAAATTTAGAAGCTTAAAACAACACACACTTATTGTCTTACTGTCTAGAGGTCAGGAGCCTGAAGTGGGTCTTATTGGGTTAAAGTCAAGGTGTCAGCAAGGGTGTGTTCCTTTCTGGAGGTTGTCGGGGAGGAACTGTCACCTCTCCTTTTCCAGCTTCTAGGGGCTGCTTACATTCCTTGGCCCACGGCCCCTTCCATCTTCAAAGCAATCACAGCATTCTACCTCTAATTCTACCAGGGATCAAATCCATGTCCCCTGCATTGGCAGGCAGATTCTTGGTCTAACCACTGGACCACCAGGGAAGTCCTGTCTCCTTGTGATTACATTGGGTCCACCTGGACAATCAGGATAAACTGCCCAATTCAAGAGTCCCTTAATCCCATCTGCAGAATCCCTTTTGCCATATAAGATAACATATTCACAGGCTCCAGAGCTCAGACTGTGGACATTTTTGAAGGGCCATTATTTTTCCCACCACAGACTGTTAGGCTCTGTAAGGACACTATGCAGGTACCCTTTGATGTACTGGGTGATGGAATGAGGGGAAGTCACAGCCCCTCAAGCTGAGCTCCAGGCTGTGGTGACCCTTCCAGGATCTCCCTCACCCCACTCCCTGCTTGTCTGTCACACAACCAGCAGCCCAACCGTCATCTTTCCTACTTTCCCATATGATGCGATTTATAAAGAATGTATAGGGCATGTCTTTCATGTCCCAAGGCAAATTTTTGAAAATCAATTTTATTGTGGTATAATATAATTGTGTGTGCATACGTGCTCAGCTGCTCAGTTGTGTCCAACTCTTTGTAACCCTAAGGACTGTATCCAGCCAGGCTCCTCTGTCCATGGGATTTTCCAGGCAAAGAATACTGGAATGGGTTACCATTTCCTTCTCCAGGGGATTTTCCCAACCTAGGGATCAAACCTTGGCCGCCTGTGTCTCCTGCATTGTAGGTGGATTCTTTACTGCTGAGCCATCAGGGAAGCCCTGTAATATAATTAATTCACTCATTTAAAAAGTCCACTGGGTTTTTCTTTTTCCCCCACACCACGGCATATGGGAATCTTAGTTCCCCTACCAGGATTGAACCCGTGGCCCCTGCAGTGGAAACTCAGAGTCTTAATAACTGGACCACCAGGGAAGTCCCTGTCTATTGAATTTTGACGAATATATATATACCCATGCAACCACCACCATAATTAATATATGGTATGTGCATTTACAGTTTGTTTTGCTGTTTTGGTATACAGTTCTAAGTTTTAAGATCTGTGTAGATGTGTGTAACCATTACTACAATTAGGACATTGAGCAGTTCCATCGGCCCCCAAAATTCCCCTGTGTTCCCTTTTGTAGTCACA